GAGGTAACACCTCTGGCTCTGGCCCCGGAGTTAAATCTGCCCTTGCCGGGCCTTCCACACTCTAATGACTAGCATCTCACATATGTATAACACATCCTTTGGGGGCTACACATTTTAATTTTGCATGATTTCAGAAAAGCTTAAAATTATTTGTCATTTTATGTATTTCAGTAGCTTCAAATAACAATGTGGGTTGTTTAAGTTATTTGATTGGATCTACAAATGGCTACAAATAATATAATTAAATCATATTATACTACAAATACAAAAACAGCTGTTCATTTTCATGATCATAAAATGATACACATATAACCTTAACGGTGCATTCACATGGGCCGTCGACGCTTGCTGAAGGGTGTGTCTGAAGCTTGGTGCTGAGCCAATCCCAACAGCCAATCCCATTAGTTTTCTGGTGTTGTATAAATGCGATTGGCTAGCGTCTGCACCAGGGTATTTGTATAAGGCGATCTGATTGGCTGAGGCCTGCGTTGGCACTTGAAAATTTGAAAAGTTTTCAACTTCTGCCGCGAGCAACGGACACAACGCGACGCGACGGACCCACAATTCATTTCGGCAACGCTTGACGTCACTCCATTCAAAGTAAACGAGAGGCGTTGACGCCAACGCCCCATGTGAATGGGGCGTAATGGATAGTTCACTTAAAAATAAAACAGTCACCATTTACACACATAATTTTTGTTTTTGGCTGAACTAACCCTTTAACCGTGTCAGCAAAAGCATGTTGCCCTGAGTTTAATTTCATGTGATTTCTAAATTAAACATTTGCATAAATTTACTGGCAATTAATATTAATCAAATTACTTAAAGGGGTCATATGATGTTGCTAAAAAGAACATTATTTTGTGTATTTGGTGTAATGAAATGTGTTTATGCGGTTTAAGGTTCAAAAAACACATTATTTTCCACATACTGTACATTATTGTTTCTCCTCTATGCCCCGCCTTTCTGAAATGCGTCGATTTTTACAAAGCTCATTGGTCTGAAAAGAGAGGTGTGCTCTGATTGGCCAGCTATCTGGTGCATTGTGATTGGCCGAATACATCAAACGTGTGATGGAAATGTTACGCCCCTTACAAAACTGTGATGGCGTGTCCCAGCCGGAGCGACGAGACAAAAAACATTAAAACCCATTATAAACGAGTCATTTGTTGCATCAAGTGGGGATATAATTACGGATTATAATGACTTATACTGTCTTTTTTTCACATTGCGTTGCATTGCGCCACGTAAACATAAAACCATGCCTGCATTTGTGATCGGAGAAATGACAAACAACAAGCGCTACTCTACACTGCTCAAAACTCACGTTTGAATCATCAGTGGCAAATCCTTAAAATTAAAACTTACTTACAGTCTGAGTCAGAACAGCCGGCATTGTAGTCTACTCTTCCAGGATCAGGAAACAGTCATGAATTAACAGTTGGTTGAACTGCTCTGGAACAGTGTTGTAAATACAACTTAACCACTGATTTCTAGTCGTGTCCTCTTTTGGAAGGCCAAACAAAGTAGTTTCACACGGCGGGCTAGAGTGAGCGGAGGCCAGCGGGCCTGGGTGAGTGGTGGCGGGCTATAGTGAGCGGCGGCGGGCAGGCTTGAGAATGGCGCGGCCGGCGGACTTGCGGCAACCACATGTGACGACCCCGGGCTGGACTCCGCTTCGTCCACGGTGAAAGCCGGTCCGGCGATCCACAGCGCGAAGTTGATGTATTTCCTCAGCGACCAGCACGGATCAGCTCTAGGCATGACGAAGCGGATATTGTCCTCTTTTGGAAGGCCAAACTGCAAAGCTTTCACAACGAAACACACAGAACACAAACACACACGCGTCTTCATGGCATGGTGGCAGCAACAATACTACAGCGAGAATAAAAGTTACGCCTTCTTTCTTTGCATGAACATTTGGGGCGGTGTTATGCAAATCTTCCCACATAGTAACGTAGACAAGTGGGGGCGTGTTAGAACGAGCCGTTTTAGGTAGGCGTGGTTGACTCTGAATTTTATAAAGAATATCTCTTTGGATTTGAGACTTTAGTCTTTGCAACTTTACAGATCTTCTTTATGAACCAAGAGCTTGTAACACTTCAAAGAGAAAGGAAAAAATTTAAATTGCATCATATGACCCCTTTAACGGACACTTAGTAGTTACTGCTATTTTTTTTAATAGTTGAGTTTAGTTTAGTTTAGTTTAGTTTAGTTTAGTTGTTGCATTTATCCATTTCAATGTTCATTTATTAATTGAAAACCAAGATCATTTTGGGATTTATTGTCACCGTTGTACCATAGTAAGGGATGTGGAGATTGTCTACTGATTTAATTGCGCTGCATTATGTGCTTTGTGGCTGGTGTGAGAAGTAATTTTCACACATCGAAAGGTCAACCAGCACGATTTGAAAAACAGTCTGTCTAACTTAGACTATTAATATATATTGGACACCCAGCTTACCTTTGGCAGACACATACTCACATTAACACACTCACATATAAAAGTAATATAATGAGCCACTTATAAAACTATAACTCCTCCTATAAAAGTTGATAGGTCTAGAGATAGACTTAATGGAAAGTGAATAAGGTCTATTGTCTGGATTCCTTTTGGCCCCCCAAGTGACCGGGTGATTAGTGTGAGTCACTTTTATCCTGGTAGGTCTGTCCACAGCTTTATGAGTCAATAGAAAGATATCAATGGCTCTGGAGGGAGGAGGCCACACTTCAAGGGGACGTAATACCCATACAAACAGTCGCTGGAGAGAATGCTGTGGGCCGCTCCACAAACACATTCAAGAGGACGAGATGCTTTCAATGAAGAGACAATTGACTTAGTTAACACTGCCCAAGAACCACGCTCTCATTGGTATCCTTCCTCTAATGGGCAGAGTTGTTGCTCGCCTTCCTCGTGCTTTTGCAAAGTCTGAAAAAAAGTAGTTTTTCTGTTGAATTAATTTAAAGATATGGCACCACACTTACAATTGAAATATAATAGCAAACATTTGATAATTTTGTAAAGACATAACACATACAAGCATATTTCCTCTAAGGATGTGATTGTGCTGGGATTTTTGTTTCATCTGAGAAAACAAAGAATTTGATTTATTGTATCCATTTTCAAAGAGGTATTAAACACAAGCACTTGTGACCAATCAGAATTTCATTTCACAGTATGTGTGCTCTAAGAAGGATTAAACATTTGGGGAAATTACTAAAGTACTGTAGCTGATTCACCATTCAATTTGGACTTTAGAAAATAAAGAAGAAAAAATGAAAGAGAACAAGAAAGCGGGGAGGTAGGTAAAAACAGGTCCAGGCATAGCAAAAGCCATGGTCAGAGGTTTAAGAAATTAGCAATGATCAACTGGAACGGAAGTACCGCAACAGGACCTCCACACCAAAGGTCCTCTAATCATATGTAACATCTACCATTGGAACGTAGTGGAAGGAGTTTACAATAAGCTTAACCCCAACTTTTATTTTACGCCCAGCAGGCTCTTCCCTCCATGTTGTGCACTTTGAACACTATTTTGTTATTCTGATTTCACTCAGGCTCCTAATCCACATCTCCCAGTTTCCCAATAAAGCGCTGCCAGTCTCAAAGCTTTCAAATTTCACTCTCAACCCCTCATTCAGCCTTAAATAACTCTGCAGTCCTTCAAACAAGTGAGCTCATAGAGGCATGAAAGTTAGCATTTCATTATTTTACCACCAGGTCCTAGCCTAATGCTCTTTAACAGTAAAACTAGCCATGCTCTTTTGCACTTTCATTTTGTGACAAGATGTAAATAAACTCCATTCCATCCCCATTCTGCAATCACACATCATATAGTTGTGGACAGAGTGGTGTCATTTGGTAGACACCATACTTACAATATAGCAAACCATTTTTGGGCCTAGTGGGCTGGTGCATACTTGGGAAGGGACTGGAGGTGGTGGGGGGTGGGTAGGTTTCCTGGCCTTGAATTAGTTTGGCTCTGTACATAATTCTCCCTTAATGGGCTCCTCCATACCACAGAAAAGGCTTGAAAAGGAGACACAGAGTTCGATTGCTCAATATTCATCTACATTTTTCCCCTGGATGGGCACAATATGGCGGGCTTAATTAACTTTTCTCAAAGGTGAAGCAGTGCGCACCATCTGCTGTGAGACAATCACGTTTCTATGCCTCTGCCAATAATCCCGTTACCCCTTTTAAGAACAGGGGAGCGGGGAAAAGTGAAAGAGAGAGTGCGAGAGAGCGATAAACTCAGAAACAAAACAATGGGATCCCGAAAATCAGGGAGTCATGTGAGACAATCAGCATCCGCTCTGCACGAGAAACACCACCTTCTCGTGAACTCTGTCTTTTTTTTTTGTTTTGTTTTTTTTTTTTTACAAAATCCTGCCTTGGGTCCTAGAGCACTGAAACTGCTGAGTGGTAATTACTGTAAGATGCTATTTTGCTTGCAAAACTTATTTAATTCAGTGTGCGTCTTTGTAAGCCCTGCTAAAGAGTTCAGTTGCATGTATAGGATTTTCAGAGGTGTGGTTGCAACCTTTTTTTCTTAATTTAAGACACTTGATACCTAATATTATCTTCAAGAAGGATAAAATATTTTTAAAAGCATCAACTACACATAATTCATTAATAAATCTCAAGGACCACACAACGCAATCAAGGGCCAAGTGAACTTGCCCCAAAGCGGGGTCATTATTTGATCTTTCTGGATCTTAATCTGATTAAGTCATTGTGGAGGTAAACTTCAGACCCAATCTTGTTAGCAGCTGGCCAAGATGGATTACGAAGGCCAGTGAGCTGGAAAATGAACTGAGCAGTTCAGCTTTGGACTTGCTCTCTTTCAACATCTTGTCCTCTTCTTCTGCGCCTTCTGCTGTCCTTTCTGCTGGCCCTTCAAACGAGATATTATCCCCAGCTTCTGCACTTGCATGAGCCCATGATGCTTTTCGTCTCCTCCATCTATGATGTCTTAGTTAAACGCAGACAATGACAAAAGAGCCCAGCCCTTTCTCAAAGGTCTGGATTCCAAGACGCTGTTGGCACAATTTGACCGAAACTTGCACCGGTTAACCCTTAGGCTGGTAGAAGTACACAGTGAGGATTCGCCCACTCATTTGTAAATGGACTGAGCTTTCTCTATTTCTCTCTGTCTTTTTATTCCTTAAATTATGCAAATGCTTAAGATGTGTGGTCTGGCCGAAGACACTCGCATTTTTGCTTGTGGTCTTCTTGTGGCATTGAGTGCTTTTACAGTGAATGCACACCACAGTCTAACTCATAAAAAGTGCCCTTTAAGGCTGAAAAGAGTTCAAAGCATTCAAAAGACAAAGAGGACTAAGCTGGGATTTTTTATGTACACTGAAAAGAAGAATAAGATATAAGTTCTTTATTGCTGCCTGTTATGACACTGGCTCCCAAATCAAAGCATTATGCTCGAACATAAAGTCTCCTGAAATTTTCTCTTGCAAACCATATGCAAAGAAGAAACAGCGAACGATTTAGACAGGCTGCCATTTTGTTACACGAACTTCTGAATGCTCTTTTTGACACTCCATTGAGGGAACAAGGAATTCAAAAGAGGTTATATTCGATCAGGTTTTCTGCCTCAATAGGTTATAATCAGTGCTAAAGTATTGAGCACAACACAGTGTTGGAGAGCCTCTAAGAGCTTTAATCAGGAGGTTTTTCTCACTCTTATCGTCTCCCATACGAGACTAACCACACACTGAAGTGCTCCCTTCTATTGATTATCTGGATGGGAATTTAAATATTAATACTCTGGCCAGGACTGTTAGGCACTCGCTCATCGGTTGTGTTTCATGGCAGAGCACTCATTCCCCAGATTAAAAGCAGTCCTAGGTTTTGCTTTCTTTCAGTCATTTTTTTTAAAGAGCAGTCCTGATCTCTTTTGAGAGCGGGAGGGAAAAAACTTCAAGGGTGAGCCGTGTGGAGAAATGGGACTCTACAGAAATTTCAAAGGAGAGGACTCTCCTCCAGGCTTGATCTACTAACGATGCAAGAATTACACACTGGTCATTTAGCCACTGCAGGAAAAAAGAGAGGGAACACATGGATTTACCAATCACATCTCCTAAAAGAGGGAAAAACACTTTGGAATCTTCACTTTGGAATCACTGCATTTCTCTTCCGTTGAGTGTGCAACAATACACTCACTCACACACACACATATACATATATGTAAGGGAAGCAGGTCAATTTAGCTCAAAGGGAATCATTCAAGATTTTAAAGGGAACTCCACCAATAATATGTAAGGGAATTAGGACAGAATCACTGTTTTACGGCTGATCACTGAGATGGCCAGCGAGTCATTGAACGAGCCGTATGACATCAATTATGCAATGGATATTTATATCCAAAATATAGTGAAAACACTATTAATTAGCATAGTAACAAGATCGGCAGTTTGAGACATTAACTTGTGAGCACAAAACACGAGATACTTCTCTTTTCAATATAAATAAGGCTTTATTGGATAAATCTAAGACATATAAACTAATCTAACACACGCATTCACACAAGTTGCAGAAAGAGAGAAAGTGAGGAAATAATTAGTTTAAGAGAATGAAAATGTGAAATCCCAAGTTTACAGCAATATGTGCAATTGCATAGATCTGAACAACCATCAATCCACAATAAATGATTAAGACCTGATAAGTCACATGTGGGTTACATACATGATATGGGGGTATATATATAGCAATGTTTAGTTGCTCGAGTCCTTTTAGTTTCATTTAGGTGCATGGAAAGGCAGTTTCTGTGCCATTCTGTGAACATAAGGACATGTTCTGTGGATGTATGAAGTTAACATGTCTCTAAGGCATTTCAGTCTGTTCTCTGTCTCAGAGGTGGGGGGAGAAGTCAATTCCAACGAGATCGTGATCGTTTTACTATCACGTGAGGGTCATGCTGTCATTTCTTTGACCATTATTCTTGATAACTTGCCCCCAAAATTGACAATCTCCTTGGAATTGTCAATAAGTGTTCTTTTGTTTTAATGTTGAAAGCTGTTCTGTGAAAGAGTTGGTTAGGCTTGCTTCAGACTGGCTAGGGTCTGATTTATGACATCCTGCTGTCTTGGGCCTCTTGTGGAATTTTTGTGCTCCTAATGTTTCAACCATGTTTTGACCAAATCTTAGATTGTCTGATTCAGTCTGATATCCTACATACATATATATAAATTTTTGTTTGTGTTGTTTTTCACATCTTTTCAGGTAACTGCTATCAATCTCAGACAGGTGTGTTCAACAGTTTGCCAGGTTTTCTTAGGTAAATGGAAACCCTACTTAAAGAGGTTGTTCCACATTATTAAGCAAGTCACAATTCTCATGAAATATGGTGAGGAAGAAAGATCTTTCTGAAGATGAAAAGTATGAAACAATGCAATGTCTTGCAAAAGGCATCAAAACAAACTATATTTTGCAAAAATCAAATAGAAATTATTGAACTTTCAAAAGATTTGTGAGTAACTTAGAGCACAGAAGATCTTGGTCAGATACAGATTTATTAAGGAAAGTTTCTGTCAAACAAATGAACTGTATTGTAATGCCAACTGTAAAAAAGCCACTGCTGAGCAGCAAACAGGTGTTTGAAGCTACTGGAGTCTCAAGATCCTCTCCAAGCAGACTGGCAGTTGTGTGTTGCGTTTCAGTCACTGCTAACCAAACCTTACAAAGAGAAACCTGCACAGTGGATGTAGAAACAGTTTTCAAACTGTTTAGCACCATGGTATTTATGCATCATGGGATAGTGTGTTGTCCTGCATGAAAATCATTTTATTTCCGAGAGCACTCTTCTTCATTTTATACCAGAAGAAAATGGTCAGTTATGAACTCCACGTATCTTGCAGAAGTCATTTTGACACCCTAAAATGACCTTACATCTCACTTCCCAATATTCCAACCCAAATCATCACCCACTGCCTCCTGGCTGATGTTGCAGTCTCATTGGAATAGGATGGCCATTCAT